GCCTTTCTGAACACGAATTTCAACTTAAGCTATAAAGTTAAGATGTTGAAACTGGCAAAAAAAATTGATGAACCTGTCAAATATGACATATATGTCAAATATGCCAAATCTGCCATATCTGCTATATCTGCCAAATCTGTTATATCTACCAAATAGGATACACATACTATTTATTATATTTCTATTATTTATATTACTATTATTATTTATATCATATTTAATATAATTAGTATATCTGTTAGCTCTGTTATTATTGTCAGTAGTATCATATTTACCATAGATTTTTTTAATTGTAATTTTCCTATATAAAGGGCATGAAAATGCCTTATAAAAAAAACAGATTAAAAACAGATTCCTATAAGTTCTTAACCTTAACATTGTATTTAATATATATTTAATAATAATAATAAACATATTTAACATTTTGCAAACATAAAACTTATAATTTATTTCTTGTTAATTAAATAATTTCTAATAAATAGCGTGTCAAGTTAATTGGATTTAAGTCATAGCTACTGTCTTCCTGATTTCAAATCATAATTAACTTATTCGACGGAAAGAGTAACGTTAACAATATTTAATTTAATAATATTAAAAACTAAAATGCAATAAAAATCAAAATTTTTTGTTAAAAAATTTTGTAGAATCTGATTTTTCTAGCAAACTTCTTATATAGTAATAAAATATAATAATAGTACTTTACAGAAACTTTGTTTTCTTACTATTCAATAACTATATAATACCTATTAGACTGCGATTAAACTACTTATAAGTAAGGTAATAATAATATATTTACTATTTAGTCACTTTGTAGTTACTGCATATTAAGAAAACCAAGTTTCTGTAAAGTATTTTATTTATAAAATTTTAAATTTTAGAATTTATAATAAAATGATATATTATAAAAATTATAAGTTAAAATCTAAAAAAAAACCATAAAAAATTTATGAAAATAAAGTTTTAGCATTTCAGTATTTTAATTATTAAAGACTAAATAATTTTAGTTTTATCATATGAGTATCATTAATAATAGACTTATAAATCATTTTTAAAAAATAAAAGAAAAAAAATATTAATAATATTTATTAGATTATTACTAAAAAACTCTTTTTAAATGATTTTTATGAGATTTATTATCTACAAAATAAAGATAAAAAATAAAATGTTAAATAATATTTTTAAAGTCAATGCTAAAAAGAACCCTTTCTTAATAGATTTACAAGATTATTTTTAAAGTCTATTTCTTATAAAATAAAGAAAATAAAGTTTTTAAAAAACTTTAAAACTTAATTTAAAAGTAAAAAAATTTTTTTAAAAAAAAGCAATTTATCTAAATAAAAAAAAAATCTAATTCAATTAAAATTTATTTAGTAAAAATATTATTTTACATAATTTAATTTTTATATTGAAATAAATATACATAAACTAAATTAAAAATTATAATAATGTTTTAAATATTAATTATACAAATATAGATAATTTTTCTATTTACCTATTTTTAGTAGTAATTAATATTAGTCTTATTATTAAAAGGATAATATATTATTAAAATTATAATAATTAAGTATAAGATAATAAAATCAAGAAAAAAATCTTATTTCATGCAATTATAAAAAGTTGTAGTTTTAGAAGATTTTACTATATCTTGATTCTTAATTTTACAGATTATCAAAATATTTGTAAATATCTTTTAATATATGCTAACTTAATAATAAAAAATTCTATTTTAGAATTACTTAAATATATTTTAAGATTTAACTCTTTATTTTATTATAGCATTATAATTTAAATTTTTGATCAATTAAGAATCTTATATGACTTATTAAAATGAAATAAAAATCTCATTTTTAATCAGATAAACTTAAAACTTAATTTTCTAAAAATACTCCTATATAATATCAATTAAATATTTATATTAATATTAATGTAATAAAGTTTTTATTTTAATTAAATTTTTTTATTTATATTTTGATAATTGTATTAATATACTGAAATTTTTTGTTTAATTAATTCAAGTATATTAAATAAATAATTTATAACTATTTACTCAAGTTTGAAATAAATTTATAAATTAAGTTATTAAAAATCTAAAGGGTATTATGAAAATTTAGGAATTTAAAAAGCATTTTCTTATAAAGTCTATAAAATACTAACTAGCCTAAAATCTAATCTATATAAGATATATGCTAATAATTATTATTTATTCTAATATTTTAATAGACTTTAAAATAAAATTAAATTAAATTTTAAAGTCAGTTTCAAAAGTTAAATTTTGCATACATATAGTATATGTATTTAAAAATTATATTTTAAATATTAAATTTAAAATATATATTTAAGAGATTAAACTTAAAATTAAACTTAATATATATTTAAAAATTTTAATATTTTGGTATTATTTTTTGCTCTAATATTTTCTGAAAAATTTGCTTAAAAAGATTTTTTATATATTAAAAAGAATAATATGCTTAATAAAAATTTATGGATTTTTAATAAAAATCTGTTAATTGCTAAATTTATCTTATATAAAGTTTATCTTAATATATGTATATTCGAAAAGATATACATTTTCTGAAAGGTTAGATTTTTTAACTTTAAATATTTTATAAAAAATTAACTTTAAAATTAATTTTTGGATATTACAAAATAATAGTATATAATTTAGGGTTGTAAAATCATCTCTTAAATATTGTAAATATTTCATATCTTTATATTTTTAATATTTTTTAATGATAACTAGTATATCATAAATTTTAATATATATTGCCTTACAATAAATTACCAGATTTTATAAATTTTACTTAGTAATATATAGTAAAATTGAAGATCTTTAAATTGCATAAAAGTTTACAAATTTTCAATAAAAGTCATCTGATTTTTTTTTTTATTTGATAGCTGATAAATTATAGTTTTTAGATATTAAAATGAAAAAGAAATTTTTTAAAACATGAAAAAACTTTTTCATATTGAAATATAAGCAACAATTTTTTTATAAGTTTTTTGCATTTTTATATATAAAATTGTTATCGATTACTTTACAAATGAGTATTTTTTCAGTATTTTATAAATAGAATATTTTTGAATTATATTTTTAAAATAAAAAAATTTAGAGTAAAATTTATTAAAAATTCATAAACTTTTATGCAATTCAAAAATCTTCAATTTTACTTTACATTACTAAGTAAAATTTATAAAATCTGGTAATTTATTGTAGAGTAGTATATACAAGTAATTAAAATCTAAAACACAGGCTTTGGGAATTTTTAATAAAATTTTGATTTTTATTGCATTTTAGATTTTGATACTATTAAAATATAATATAATAAGGTCATAATTTTAGTCAAAAAAATTCCAAGTGCCTAATTTCTTAGCAAACTTCCCATATAGTCAGTATTGTATTTCTTGATATTGAAGGTTATAAAATATAGCAATTAGCATGTCAAGATAAATATATGGTAAGATATTAATTGAAGCTAGGGTGATTTCTGAATATTTTATTCAGATTTTTTAGTTTCAGAAATCCCATTTTTGTTTTTTGCTCTACTAAAGGTATATTTTATAAAAATATTTCCTAGATTATCATTCAGATAAAGATTGATCTTTTTATTCTGAAATGTTAGCTTTATTAATTGAATTTTTTCGCCTAAAAAAAATACAAAAAAATTAATTTTTGCGTATATTTTAAAATAAAAAAAAAAAAAAACACTTACTGATGATATTAATAAGACCATTAAGTCGATTAATATATCAGAAAATGCTTTTTTTTTTGTGAGTATTATTTGGTTTAGCATATGAAAGATAATCATTAACGCTAACAAAACAATACCCAATAATAGCTATGCCAGTATTTTCAGGAATTTTAAGAGCAAACAATTCAATATACTTATTTTTCTTCCTGAATAATTGCAAATATTTCTACTTTAATATCAATTCACATTCAATGCATATAATGTATTTCTAAAACATGGAACGAATGATATGATCAATTGCTTATCATTGTATCATTTCCTTGAGCTATAGCTACTGAAATTAACTGTTATATTAAATTTAATAAATAATATGCCGTTGGCATTTCGGTTACTAATAAATAAAGATATAGACATATTCTTTTTTGATGATAAAGAGAACGATATTTTCTAATATTATAATTTGGACCATCAATACCAATTCAGGAGGAATAGCGATATTCAAATTGAATTGATTTCACTTTGATCATTTTTTTGTTGGCCTTTCTAAAAAGAATACCTTTTGGAGTATCAACTAATTGAGAAGTAAGCAAGTTAATGTGTTCATCTTCTCTTGATGCACCAAATATACAAATCCAAAAGAAAATACGTTTTAATAAGCTAAGGGAACATTGGGATTTAAAACTTCATGATGGAAAATCTGATGAGTTTATCGGTTGACAATTTAACTGTTTCATATCTATCTTTAAGAGGCCATGAAGCGATGGGGTGCGCTTTCAACTAATTAAATCAAAACTATGTATGGTCTTATAACAAAAATTACTATTGAAGATTTTTTTATATTAAGCTATTTTATAGTATAATTTAAATTATTTTATAATAAATTTACTTTTAACGAAGCTATATTTTCTTCATTTCAGATTTTTTGAAAATACTCCAAATATCCGTCTCTTTCACAAAATAGATTGCTTTTTTTAAAAAAAAATTCATTAATACTCCGAAATTAATAAATTAAACCTCCTAAATAAAATAAAACTTTTTTTTACGTAAGTTTTGAAAAATATGATGTATTTTATGTTTCTTAAAGTTATCATGTATCCATTCAACTTTACTGCGTTACTTGAATGTTAATAGAGTACAAGTTATTAAATTTTAAAGATTTTGGTTATTTTATTAGAAAAATGGCTCGCAAAACCCGAAGTTAAAATGATCGTCAAAAAATCTCTAAATAGTAAGTTTTACTATAGGACTATATATAGTTTTGTTAAACTATGTTGACAGCGCATCCCAATGAAGCGAGCATAATATGGAAAATCATTTATTATTTAAATTACACTTCCATCCTGGTTTGACATCTTGCAAGTATCTACTAATTGCAAATAAAACATTTTTTAAAGAAGTTCGTGAATATCGTTCACCCTTTTTAGTAGATACACTGCAGATAAATTGTGTCTTTATCTTGACTTTCTAGAAGATAATCATAATGAACATCTGTTCTCCACTTGTTCATAATTTTACAGTAATCTATTAATTATTGTATTATTAGGTACACTGCCTTTAGCAAGTGCTGCGACTTCGACAATTAAATTTACGTGAAGGTCATCTCGCAAGTTTATATTTAGGAATGAACCCTTTATGTTTTTTTCTTTAAAGAGAAGAGAGAATTTATAGTATAAAAAAAACTACGTTCTATAAAAAACGAATAATTTACCTACATCCGGTCCCAAATTACATACGTACAACTAATAGTTAAATTTTTTTTTCCTATATTAGCATTAGTATTGTTCGTGATTTTACAGTGATGTCACTTTAATTTGAAATTTATAAAGTATGTAAAAAATGTCAAATTTAACCAACTATAATTTTCGCACGAGTTCGTCTAATCAGAATGAAAATTATTCTTTTAATAGTTAAGCAAGAAAATCCCGTTCTCTGCACTATTTTTTTTTGATTTACTATTGATTTGAACCGGAGCTATGGTTTTCTGAATTATTTTAAAATAAAGGTCAAAAAATTTTCAGAGTAACATGAAAATACCATACGAATTAGATGTGAAAAAGAGGATATTGCTAAAATCTAATAATTTGATCCAAATAGAAGTTTATTATAATTTATCGCGTGATATAAATGAACAGTAATTGCTTGTTAAAGTGCGAAAATAACTAAGTAGAAAGGTAAGGTTGCCCTCTTCTTCCAAAAGAATATAGCAAATCGAAATTACAACGCTTTCATACATATTAGCGAAAAATATCTAACCTATTTATAAGGACAATATTTAATGTTTATCGCGGTTACAAAAATATACAAATAAAGAATAAGATTAATTTCTTAAATATAATATTAATGATCTATCATATTTCTGACTGATTACACAGGATTCATTAATCACAGTATTTTTTAAATATATAAAAAGTAAACTAGTTTTTAAAGTTAGGATTCTCTAAGGAGTTGGAGCTGTCATACAAGCACCTTAGGCAAGATTACAAGTAGCAGCGGCAATGGGGGCACCAAGACCTCCAGTAATAGTACCTAAAGAATTAAATTTGATTAATCTTTGAACGAATATAAATTAATATAAAATATCATTTAATATTAATAGATTACTTACCAGCAGCCAATCTGGCAGTACTATAACACGTTACCCAGCCAATATTACATGCAGTTTGACATGCTGCATAAGCAAGAGGACCAGCGTTAACGCTTGATAGTTGAAGGGCGAAGAAGGATATTGAAACCAAGACGATGAAATGTGTGATTTTTATCATGATTTATGATTAAATATTAATTTTATTAGAAATATTTGAAAATTCTAGAGTTTTAATTTTTTTTAATTTTATTTTATAAAATTGAATTACAATAATATCTGTTCTCTTTATATATTGTAAATTTGTTTTTATTTCCAAATTAGGAAATGACAGTTTATAGTCATCACATAATCTCTATTTTCTTTTCTTTAAGTTCATTCTTAATTATTCATCTATATTGTATTATATCATTGTTTCAAACTACTGCTCATTACAATTACGATTGAGCACAAATATCACATTCCGCATTCTGATCATCAGGTAAATAAGATCGATATCTTAGTCTGCGTAAAGTGCATTTATTTTTTTTTTTTAACGATGTGGCACTGCCAGTAACGTAAAGTGCATTTATTTGGTATTCAAAGACTATAATTCAAATTTAAAAGTGGTGCGACCTTCTTTCGGCCATCTATTTACTTCAAAAATTATTATATCCTCTGTAACTGAAATAAAAAAAAAATGGCATTTTCACACGACAAAAATTTCATTTTACACTAATTAATTTATTTATATACAAAAAATGTCTTTTACCATGCCAGTTTGACTAGGGTTGGATCGGTCCGGTCCGGTCCAAAAAGACCGGTCTTTCATCAGGACCGGTCCATAAGTCAGTCCTAGGACCGGTCTTGTACCATTCGGTCCTACCAGTCCGGTCCGGTCCAAGATTTGT